AACCCTCTTGTTTCTAACGGTGCTTCCTATTCAATTCCTGATAAACCTCCGAAAAGAAGATGGCCACGTGATCTCCTAAAATGGACATATCATTAGAGTGCTACCAATGGGTAGTTTCTCAACATGTGTTTCATGTCATTGTATCCATGTACGAATTTACTTGATGTATTTTTTTTCGGTTGTAAATATCATATAAATAATTTTAAAAAAAAAGTGCAATGGGGAAGCGATTATAATTATAATATTTATTAGTGTTCACTTCTTGACTAGTGTTTCACAAGTTTAATATTATACTGGGTTGATTTTTTTTTAAATAAAAAATATATTAATAATATACTGTTATTTTTTTGGTTAGTAGAAATGCTACGAAAATCCGGAGCGATATTACCTCCATTAAAATAGAATTTTAGTGTATTATTTTCTACAAGGAACAATAGTAATCGACCAAAAAAAACGGTAAATGTTAATCCCCATAAAAATTTGCAATTTTACGCTCCACGATACTTATAATACGAAAATGCTTTTCCTTATGTTGAAAAAAAAATTGTCAGTCCACCAGCCGTGGATTTCCTTCGAAACTACTTAACCAATTCGGTATGAAAGTCACCGACGAATCGGCTGTAATCATTTTAATGAAACTTGCTTAATGTCTTCATGAAGCCCTATTGTTTTATGCGTGCAATATAGTTATCCGAAAAGAAATGGTAAAAAAAGTTATGACTGATGAAGAATTTGGTTTGAGAACTGTCCCCTCAAAAAAAATCTGTATGAAATTATTAGAAAGTAATGAAATTACAAAAAAACAAAAAAAACAAACATGGAAACTGAGCTTCTGCAAAAATATGGTGTTTTGAACATATTGAATGTTTTCTATTGTAAATTCGATTCCTTTTATTTTAAACTACAATCCTTTTTTTTTCTACCTAAGCAGGTATGATTATTATTTTATGAATCTCTTGATTTTTTAATCTTTTCTAGCAAATAAGAGAAAATAAATACATCTTAAGGAGACAACCTTAAGATATTAAAAGACCCTTTCAACAATTTATTATGGAAATACAGCCTAAATTGACATTGACTTAAAGTCTAAAAATTTTAATTACTTTTACAAATAAAAAAAATATATTACCTTGTTATTTTTGTATAAGATAGTGTTAGACGTGTCTTTCTCTTGTTTCAGTACTAACGCTGATTCGTTTGACTGAACAGAGCTTTGTATACTCTCCTGCGCCTAAGTAATATGTTCCGAAGGATATTGTTATTTAAATAAAGGGGCCCCGAAAGGATATTTTACCCCCGAAAAGAGTTTTAATTTCGTTAACAAGGTTCGGTCCCAGCATTCGCACCCTCCATTTAACGAGCTCACCGACCTGCAGTAGAGGCGAATATAGGAGGGCGGCGGGTCCCCTAGCACATTAAGCTGCGAGGGAAAAAAAAAACTCAGAATTAATACACCATTCGGATGCGGATGGCCTCACAATTTTAATTTCGAGAATTAGTTGCCTAGGGAGGGGGAGGATTAAGGACACAGGACACATTTGCCAGCACTCCCGGATAGCTCGCGAGGTTGTGCGATTTCTGCCGGGATTCGATGCCCATAAATCTATCACTTCATTACAGAGATAGTAGTGAAACGGATTAACTCCCAGTCCTGGTTTTATAATTGACAGTAATTATTATATATTGCTCTTTATACAATAGTAAGTACTTTATATAAGTATACAAAACCTTATTGAGGTAGTCCCAGGCTTCATTATGAGACAGTTCTGGAATGATCGGAAAACCTCAGCGTTCGCCTTTCGGTATCCTGTATGAGGTTAATGAATGACTGGATTAGTCAACAAAGTTTGTTATTTATGGGTGAAAGGTATTGATTTAGAATATATTTCGTCATTGCTAGGTTGTTGTTTTTTTCATTCATCACATTTTATTTATATTCTATGCATATTATACAATATAAATTCTTCGTTTTTTATACTATTTTTCATAAAGTTGATACTAGATCCTTCAATAGATAGAGATAAAAACCTGGTAGCTTAGTTGAGAACTTATGAATTTGTTTCATTTTGTTAAGAAGATTTTTTGTAATATTGTTTATTGACAAATATTGCATTTCCTCTCATTTAAGAGCAATTATAATAGAGACCAAAGAGCACGATCTAACCATATTTACAGAAAATTTAAATATATAAATTAAGTCATAGCAGTATTATACATAGAAACAAGAACAAAATAAAAAATCACAAAAAAAAAGTAAAATACTATTTACTATCAGCAAGTGGAACTCCAAACCACTCATGTCGCTGCTCCTCCCTCCCTCTCCCCCTTGTGAAGAGAAAACCAAGTCTCCATGAGATCCCAGAACTTCTCCCTGAACCATACCAAGAAATCAAAAGCCAATGGAGGATTAAGAAGACATAGAACAAAATCAATTAATAAACCAAAAAATCAGTCAAGGTGTTTAATGTACATTTATAAAAGCATGGATCACATATTTATGGTACACTTCTATATATTTTTACTGTTCTCTACAATATTCGTGCATATCTTGTATTCCGTATTCCTTACCCGTAATAAATTCGTTTATTAAGTTTTTTTTACTACTTGAATACGGTTAATACTAGATACTTTTTGTATACACTAGTTTACGGTCCTCGCTTTTCTAATCTCGTATTTGAACATTTGCTCTAACTTACTCCAAAAGAGATGTAGAATGCTCAAATGTTACGGTTTATGTTTTCGAGAGCGTTAAATTTTAATTCATGCCATTTGTTCGCCAAGATGCATGCAATCAAGGAGATATTATTATTTTTTTTTTTGGTGAAACACTGTAATCTGCCATTATTATAACTACTTAAAATTTCATAAACTTAATTTTAAACACTCTCAGATTCATATTTTGTACGCTAACATCAATCATTGTAAATTGTATTTTATATTTGTCCATAATATGCAAAAATCCAAAATAAGTCATATACTTCATATGATGAGATCGGAATCGTTTAACAGAAAAAAAAATAAGAGATCAGAGAATAAAATAGATGTGATGGAACTGTCTTTAAATTTTCAAATCTTTGTTAACAAAAGGTCTATCTAGTTTTTTGGGCGATTGTGACGATTTGCGAAATGGAACCAAATTGTTTACAATTGATAGAAGCGTCCCTCAAACAAATGTCTGTATTAATTCCACATATTTTTAAAATCCGTTTCAGGTGTATTAGGCCTCGCTTCAACTGCCTGATTATACGCAACAAAAACGATTAGGTTTAACAAAAAATACTGACACACCAACTCTAAATATAGAAAAGATGATTTTGCTTCCGTCAACTATTATCTCATGCCAATACGTTACTAACGTGACGATTATGTTAAGAAGTATTGGCCATGACTAGGAAACTATATTAATTAATCATTAATGTTTTCAAATTTCCAAACTTGTATTTTTTATTTCTAGTATTCAACGGTCTGTACGCTCGCCCCTCTATGGAGTGCCGCTAGACTCAACAATTTTAAAGCTGAAAACGCTTCTACACGGTCGCCATCACATTCTTAACCTCATTGAATTATAGCCTATCATGCCTTATCAGTGATTGCCTTTCAATTTATTTTTAATTTTGTGTTGATTTTACTTTCACTCCTTTATTACAGAAATTTCTCTTACGTGCAAGTTAAAGAACGTACCAATATTTACCCAACCCATAATGATCTGATTGGAACGACCGCTCATGTAATTGCCTACTATTGACCCGACATGGGACATAACTTATGTATGATGTTTCGTTTACGTAAACCGCCTTTCCCTAAACTGCTTCCCTAGCCTCATGCCATACATATCTTTAATTATTTAATACATGTTCCAAATGACAAGGGACATCTACATACCTAATATGTCCCCTGTCTTACATATTTTAATGTCCTTAGGGAGTATTCTAGACCATTAAGGGAAAAATTGAAGACGAGTGTGAATGTTTGATCCTCAACTCACCCTAATCGCCGAAGACCAACTTCTGTATTTCTAAAATATTTATCTTCGGGCCCAAGAAAACGGAGGTCAGTAATTGCGTTAGTGTTTAGGTGTATTTTAAATATTTAAATATTGCTTTTGCATGATAGTAGCTGTTTTGTAAATTGTGAGAGATTTGTTACGTAAATGGAATGAATTGTATAAAACACTGATCTTGCCTCAAAAAAAAAAAAGTTTATATAATAGGTCATTGTGAGAACGTCATTAAATAACACATCATGCCTTTAAATCACTAAAACATTGATGACTTTTTAGTTAAGAAAACATCAGAAAACAAAGAAATTAAAAATAAGGCTTGGATTAAGGACTTTTACATATAACTCACGATAATACAGTTATTATCATACCTAAACTTTCTTTTATTTCTCTTAAATAAAAGTCATCCCGTGAAGTACAAAAAAGTATTTTTCAAATTTGGAAAAAAAATTAAGGAAACCAAATGGAGTTTTCATAAACAAATGTAGAAATATTCAATTTGAAAAACAGAACCACTACTTGAAGGAAGCTTGCAAATTAAATATGAAATACATAAATTTTCGATCCTTGTAAATAATATACGTACATATAGTAAATCTTTTGATAAATATAGAACAGTTACTATTTACAAATTCCGAGCTCATTCTTTTCCAGAACATGACCGGATGGATCAGTTTGATCATATTTAATATGAGTTTGAATACTTTTATATTACTCTTTATTTTACAGAGACGTTTCATTTTCCATTCTATTCTTTTTATGAGAAAAAAAGAAATCTCTAAATTGTTATCTATTATCAACTAATTGCAAGTATATTAGAAAGTAATCCATTACACTTTCCTTGCTCAACAGCTGACGTAAGACAGGATCAGTGGGCGGTAACGGACTTCGGAACTGGCCATTACAGTCGTGTGTTACTCCTTGCTTCGTAATGTCACACTTGTCGCAACTGTCCGCTCTGCTGGCTGAGGTATATATACCTTATGGCGGTCAGTAGAGGATGACAGTCATGCAGTGGCTTGTGTGGTTGACGTTACTATTAGGCGGAGTTGCAGCCAAGGAGGCAAACAAAACAGACACTAGAAACACCGGGAAGAGAGACGCAGTGTTCGGTGATGGTTTCGGACATGGAGTAGGATTCGGACATGGCGGCTATGGTGGCTATGGATACGGCCATGGTTACGGGTACGGAGGACACGGTGGATTCGGAGGATACGGTCATGGATTTGGTGGTCATGGCTTCGGGGGCCATGGTTTTAGTGGACATCTCAATGCAGGTCATGGGTATGGTGGATATCCACACGGAGGACCTGGTTTTGGTGGACATTTATATGGAGGACATTACGGAGGAGGTTATGGCCATGGAGGACCAGTTGTAGTTAAACCAGTGACATTAACAAGAGAGGTACCAATTCCTATACCTGTACCTGTAGACCGAAAGGTACCCTACCCAGTGCATATTCCAGTGGACCGCCCTGTGCCGGTAAGAATACCACAGCCGTACCCTGTCCACGTGGATAGGCCGGTACCTATACCAGTAAGAGTATCTGTCCCTCATCCGTACCCAGTGGAGAGGCCAATACCTGTTCCCGTAAGGGTACCAGTAGATAGGCCGATACCTGTTCCCGTACCCAGACCTGTTCCAGTTCCAGTGGACCGTCCAGTACCAGTACCTGTTGATAGGCCTTATCCAGTGCCCGTCAAAGTACCAGTAGATGTCCCGAGGCCTTACCCGGTGCAGGTTCCAGTGGACCGTCCTGTCCCGGTACCAGTGGAGAGACCTGTACCTTTCCCTGTGAACGTGCCTGTCGACAGGCCGTACCCCGTGCATATTCCGAGGCCTATTCCAGTTCCAGTAGAGAGGCCTGTCCCAGTTCCAGTGCACAGTCCAGTTCCAGTTCCAGTTAAGGTACCGTTTCCCGTTCATGAACCTGTGCCTGTTGCAGTACCCAGGCCAGTGCCTGTGCCCGTGAAAGAACCTGTACCTGTACCTGTCTATGGTGGTCACAAATTTGGAGGATATGATCATGGATTTGGAGGATTTGGCTACGGACATGGTGGTTACGGTCATGGAGGTTACGGCCATGGAGGTTATGGACATTTCTAACTGGCATATTTATTGATGATGTAAGTCAAAAATTAATTTATATGTAAATAAATTGCAAATTTCTATAAACTTTTCGCTTTTTATTTATTTGTTTACCCTTCCCTCATACAGTGACCCTTCACGAAGGCCGTGTATTGTTAATTTTACATCCATTACTCATAATAGATATTACAATTCTTATAAAGCTAATAACTAACATGATTTTAAGTATAAAAGTTTTCCTAATGAATCACTTAAAAAGAAATTTAAAAAATAAATAAATAATACATATGATAATTATAAAGAAACTAAAACCGAAAAAAATATAAATAAAAACAAAACAAAATAACTATAATAAAATTATGAATCACTATTGCTTTCTTGAAGGAGTTGGAGATCATCTTGAAGTGTAAATTTCTTAAATTCTCTCGTTGTATTTTGTTGAAGATATTCTTTTCTCTTAGCGGCCAGTTATCATCTTGGAGAACTATGCTTCTTATTAGATTATTGCGTTTTCCGTCAAAGATACAGCAGTCATAAAGAATATGATGAAATGCCTGGGAAGGTTGTGCGGCGTAGTGGCATATATCAGTATACTTCAGATGAAACCGTTTAAAGTAAAATTGGCTTTTTCGATGAATAGTTAAAAACTGTGTGTACTTCAATTTTAGCGTATTCTTTTAATTTTGTCATAGTTGGTAAGTGTAATATCTGAAACGTTATTTCTTTATGTCATATTTTTCCATAATGTGTGATTGAATGTTCATTCATTTTTCAACAAAGATATTTGTCATTTCTTATTGTTTAAAATTTTAAATCAACCACTTCAGATGGATAAATAAAATATTATGTAAAAGAGAAAGACATAAGCAACTTAAAAAATGTTAAGAAAAAAAAATTATGGTTTTAATAATTGATTACAAATAAATTTCCGGCAAAATACAATTTAATTTAAAATCTTAACTTCATAAAGAAAATCATATAAATACAGGCTGTTAATCATTTTTAGGCCCTGAAATATATACTTTAACAAAAAGTTACTATCTCTTTTTCGAGCAATATGCAATTATTCTCGTTGTTAAAATAAATTTCCGACAGTAGACAGTTGACAGCAAAACGAAAACTACGTAGTAAGAATAGCAGAGTTATTTAATATAAATCATCTTATATTTTATATAATCACTGCTTATTTCTATAATAGTGATACATTATATTCACAAAAAATTATTCATCACATTTTCAACTAACCGATGAAACTTTTTTTTAAATTCTATTCTATCAGTTAAATTTAAATTTAAAAAAATAAACTATAGTTAAACCTATAAAAACTCATATTTATTTAAGTTAAGGAAAAAAGGTTCGAAAATAAAGAGTATGCATGGACTATAAATCAAAGACTGTTTGTACTCTTCCACTTTCCACTATATTCTTTTTAAATTATATATATTATTGTTTTGAATCAATGGCTTAATTATTATACTTCATCATTCATTTATAAATATATTTATATATCAGTAATTAAGAGCATCCTGCTCAAATACCATAGATTAACTTCTCGTTTAAATGACTTGCATCCACTTAACTTTTAAATAACTTATTTAAAGTTCTTAAATAAGAATTTAAAGTTCTTTAAAACGTTTCATGCCAAAACGTTCTAGAGCTAAAACCATAGGAAAGTAATTCAAAATGTAAATTTCAGTCGTATTGCAGCAACTGAAAAAAAAAAAGTTAAATTTTAATTGCATGCCCTGAACTTGACCTTTCAATCAGCATAATCAAATTAGGATCGTTCATTCATTATTGGAACAATACAACAAATTAATAATAAAGGCTATATACTTAAATCTTGGTATATCAGAAAGTTTACTCCACTATCAAGGATTTCGTTTTTGAGGGCCTTCAGCCTGAAAGGTTTTTTTTTTTTTAATATTACGGTAATTATTTTGAAAGGAAAAGATAAGCAAATACCCGTACGAAATGGTGTTTAGGTTATTCTTGAAGTCCTATTAAATGTTATTAGGCGAACAATAATACTTTTAGAGATAATTTCATAATATTTTTTTTAAAACATAAGATATGGTAATATTTTTCCATTTGGTTGAAGAATTGGTCGAGACCTAAAATTGCCTCCCCTCCATAGATCCGCCTGTGGTTTACTCTGAATGGCTTCAACATTTTTAAGAAACTTTTTTATTTAATTTTCACGGTGCCTTCTTAACTTTACCATTTTTCAACAATTTATACATCCAGATAGTAAAATAAATATCACATAAAAAATAAATATAAATATGGAATGAGAACAATTACATTTTTATTTTGTTTATTTTTTTTAACCGTTTAAAGCTGCATCTTACATGAAAAGGCGGGTCCATATCGGAAGACATGTCATACCTACGAAAGGAATCATGCAGAAGAATTCCGACAACCTTTAAAATGGCATCTCATAAATGACAGGATCTTGATGGTGAATTCTAGATAATTCGTGAGTACAGTCATGACGAATGTCGTGTATAATTTAAAGAGGTGGATACATTGAGCAAGATGCCTGCTGGAGCATTACTAAGGGTAAAGATGTTTTCAATAACGGTCCGCTCCAGAGATGAAAGAGTTGCATCCTCTTGCCTCAGGCTAGGGTGATATCTCGGAAGGATCTCTCGCCGTTTCAAAACTATTTGTCCTTACTTCATCTGATTCGCAGGCATCTGACTTGCAAATAGCATACGTCTTGTTATTTATTTGTCAAAAATGGAAATGGCAACATTCATTATCTTGTAACCATGCTGTGCAGGCAAAACAGATGTTTAAATATTTAAATTTAAAAGTATAATCATTTACTTAAGAATGGGTTCTGATAAGTGAATTTAAAAATATTATTTGTAATTTTTATTAACTGTACTAATTCGAGTATAATACCGCCGTACCATTTCCAATCTAAAACGTCTAAATTATTATCGTCACCTATTTCCATTAGGTGTGTATGTGTTCTATTTATTTATTTATTTTTAGGTTATTTTATTCTTATTTATTGTATATATATTATTTTTCTGTATAATTTATTTTATATATTGTACATAGAGTGTGAATGTGATTTGTGAACTCTATTATAAATGTCCTAGAGACAGATTGTAATATTTTTCAATAAATAAGTTTAAAAAATAAAAATTTCCATTTGAAACCCGTAGGTTCCTAGTCACATCCTTTATTTCCCCCACTTTGACTATTGCTGTTCGGTATATGGTGGCGTCTCTGTCGATCTCGAGGCGAAACTGAAACGTTTGATAAATTGCTTTGAACTGTTCATCTTGGAGATACCAAGGGATTCCTCTGTTTTCCATTTTTATGTAGAGTTGAAGTGGCTTTGTCCTTCCTACCGTCGTAAATATTTCCTGGCATCCTTCTTCTTTCAAAAGATCCAATCCCACCACTACTCATACATCTCCAAGCTCCTTCAATTCAAATTCTCTGTTCGTTCACGCAATACTCGTTCCCGGTCTTCTGATTTATACATAAGGGCCCACCAAACAGCTGTGTTTGACAGATCTTTCATTATCAGATTGTCATCCCTTTGGAACTCCATTCCCTCCCACATTCGTCAATATCCTTCCTACTTTTAAATCCCGCCGATTCAATCATTTCTTATCCCTCCAGTTCCCATGAAATTGTAAATAGATACTAATGTAAATATGTACATAAATTATTAGTTCGTTCTTCATTATTTTTACTTCATCCTTTTTTTTCAATTTTTTATTGTTATTATTAACTGATTAAAATTATAAAGTAACTTATAATTTTTCCTTTTTTTTGCTATGACTGTTTAATTACTCTGTATTTTTATTTATGTATTTCTATGGCTCCTTAGCCCATATTTATGTCTTTCTGTATTATTCTAAAGAGACTCGTCCCAGAATAAATAAAGTATTATTATTATTATTATTATTATTATTATTATTAATACGATAATTGTATCTATATTTGCATGTACGTCAATCATATGTGTTGAAAGCAACGTTTTTATTCAACAACTGCAGTAAAAGTTGTTGAAAAATATGTTTATACATTTAATATTTTTAAGTAATGTTGTCTATTTTTTTATTTTATGCAATTTGCACCTGCGCAGCTGCGCATATAGCATGCAATTTTATATTTTAATTTAATGCTGTAGCAAGTTTCATTTCTTTTGTTTTATTAAGTTTTCTTTTTCTTTTATTTTCTTATAATGATTCTTTTGTTTTGTATTATTATTTATTTTGTATGGATGGGTCTAACACAGCTCTAATACTCAATGCCCTTAATTGAGATAAAATGTATTATTTCTCATTAAAATAAGATTTTAAAAAATAATTTGTAATAATTATAATTAGACACTTCCTATTTGTATATCATCTATAGTGTTTCTAAATATTACAGCAGTTCATCTTGTTAGTTACTAAACAAAATTATATATCTTTAAATGATAAAGGTCTTTTAAGAAATTTAGCCAAGTCATTCTATTGAAAACAAAATACTGATCTGCTTGACTGAAACCTATTTGGAATTACGGATTTGAACTGAGGGGGACAGCAAAATTGTCTAACATCGAAAGCATCCAATCCTTCCAGTCCAAATGATTTTTTTATCTGTAAGCTTTAAGCTTTAGGTCCGTTTAAAATGCACTTCAAAAATTTCATAATAGCCCAACATTGCCAGAAAACAATTTCTATTAAAAATAGAGCTGTAAGTAAAAGTTGTGTGTTGCGCTCACCAGATGTTTTATTTCATTATTATTTATTTTATTGACAGAATTGTAATTATTTAAAAACAAAAAGTTGCCGAAATTCTCACCAAATTTCACAATATAGATTTATAATATCGGCAATCGCGAGGCTAACCAACAGCTTAGAACCTTTTAGCCGGAAGAGAAAAGGCTTCTTATGGAGGCGTGAAATTGCGGTAGTATGCACATGGCACGCCTCGGTGCACGGTCGGAAATATGACTCTCTTTTTCTAGCGTTGGCACGTAGTCTGTGAATCAATAAACTGAG